CGTATAATATAATAAAGAGTTAAAACAGAGAAAAGGAATAAAAGGAAGGAGGAAAGAAACTGAGAAGGTTGAAATAAGAAAGAGAATAAGAAAGAAAAAAACACACCTGACTGCTCTGAAGTAAATCGAAGCAATGCTCATGTTATTCAAGGAGGGGGGTGGATAGAAGGGATGTATAGTGGCGTCATCTCCAACGGTTATCTGACGAAGTTTGAACTAAAGTACCGGAAGCGTAAATAAGGACGAGAGAGATATTATTCATAAATATTACTGATAATAAAACGAAAGTTGATAGAGAGAGGCAATAAAATAGTTTAATATAAAATAAATTTATAATAAATAAATAATTTATAAATTATAAATAAATTCATAATAAATTTAAATAGTTGATAGAAATTCTGGAGAGGCAATAAAACGAAGATAATAACTGTTGAGTAATAATGGAGAATAATTGAAATTAATACATATCATGTAAATCCAACGCATAAAACAGATCCTGTCAAACAATAATTTTCCTCTCCATGTCATTAACAAACTTATAACAGACCACAATAACCGCTCTTCCTTTATCTCGACTTCCATTAATTCTCCACAACCCATTTCAGCCCCTGTATACAGATCTCTACCTTATATTCCTAACCTTTCGGACAACATCAACAAAGTTTTACGATCTACTAACCCTAGCTTACGACTTGCATTCAAATCTCATGTATATATTCCTAATATATATATGTATATATATATATAGATAGATAGATAGATAGATAAGGAAGTTGTCAGTGGAAAGAAAAGAAATATAACTATGGATGTTTTAATAAATTCAGAATTTGGGAGTAGGCTAAAGATAAGTTCTGTTTTCTGTTTTTAAATACACTGTCTTTGGTTGAAGCTGGATGTGGAGGGTTTCAGAAATGAGTCGTTTATCATGATTAAGAACTGTGGCAAGGATCGATGTTTTGTCGAAATCAAATGTATGATTGAGGGAGAGAGAATGTTCGGATAATTTGGAGGCGATAAAATTACGAGAGGATACAGAATATTTATGTTGGTTGATGCGGTCTTTTAGGAGATTTTTGGTTTCACCAATATAGGATGAAAAACAATTGGGGTAGAACACGGAATGCGGTAAACGATATGACAGCGGTGTGAGAGAGGAACAGGATCTTTTAAGGATGTGTATAATTTAGAGGGTGTGTTGTGAGATTTGAATGCAAGTCGTAAGCTAGGGTTAGGAGATCGTAAAACTTTGTTGATGTTGTCCGAAAGGTTAGGAATATAAGGTAGAAATCTGTATACAGGGGCTGAAATGGGTTGTGGAGAATTAATGGAAGTCGAGATAAAGGAAGAGCGGTTATTGTGGTCTGTTATAAATTTGTTAATGACACGGAGAGGAAAATTATTGTTTGACAGGATCTGTTTTATGCGTTGGATATTGGTAACATGAAATTGGGGATCAGAGAGGGAGAGACTACGGTGGATGAGATTTTTAGCAACGTTAATTTTTTGGTGGTAGGGATGTTTATAGTGGAACTTAATAAGTCTACCAGTGTAAGTTGGTTTAGTGTACCAGTCTGTGGATATGGTGTTGTTGGGATTTTTAATGATTAGAAGGTCAAGAAAAGGGAGAGAATTATTGAGTTCGCGTTGTACTGTAAAATTGAGGCGGGGGTAGTAAGAGTTAAAATTTGATAGGATATCGGGAATTTTATTTGGATTGATGATTAGGAGGAGGTTGCCTACGTATTTTCGAATAAAGATGATATCGTCTGGGTAAAGAGGGATAATGGAGTCTAGAAGATCATTGAGAACGATGTTGGAGATGTCTGGAGCGAGGAGGTTACCTATGGCTAGCCCGGAGATTTGGTTAAAAAATTGTCCTTGGAAAGTGAGTTAGCCTGATTTACAGCATAGATGAAGGGATTCGAGATATGAGGAGCGGTTAAGTGAGGCGTGAGGTTCAATGATAGTCCAATTTTCGTCTATTATGGTAAGTGCCTTGTCTATGGTTATGTTCGTAAATAAACTTTCAACTTTAAAGAAGCAAAGAATAAAATTGTCTGGAATGGTAAAGGAGAGTAACTGTTCACGGAGATGGAATGAGTTATGTACATCATAAGGGTTGTTGTGGCTGAAGATTTGTAAGGAAGGTAGTAAGAATTTGCTAAGTTTAACTGAAGGATAATTAATATTGGAAGTGATCGGACGGAAGGGGTGCCAGGTTTGTGGATTTTAGGAAGTCCATAAAAACAGGGAGCAACTGAATTGTAGAAGATAAGGTTTCTGTAAGTAGGGTAGATTAGAATTTAAAATTTTTTTTAGGTGCAGGTTAAATTTAGTTTTTAATGATGAGGTGGGATCACGGGGTGTAGCAGAGTAAGTGGAGCGATCTGATAGGAGTAAAGTCAGTTTTTCAGTATATTCTGTATGGTCCATAATTACAGTTTTGTTGCCTTTATCAGCCCTGGTTATGATTATATTATCATGGGATTTTAAGAAGGATCGGGTAAAAGAGAGGTCTTTGAAAAATTCAGGAGAAAAGGAAGAAGAGGAAAGCGGTGGGTATAAGAGATAGTTGGAAATAATGTTACAGATGGAAACGCGTGACAACTCCTTATTTTCTTTTGAAGAGGTGAAAAAATCGTCTGTGTAAATATATTCGAGGTCAGAGATGAGTTGTGGAATGATTTTGACAGACGTATTGGGTGTGGAAAAATTATCGAATTATAAAAATTCGTTTTATTATCCATAATATTTATGAATAATATATCTCTTTCGTCCTTATTTACGCTTCCGGTACTTTAGTTCAAACTTCGTCAGATAACCGCTGGAGATGACGCCACTATACACCCCTTCTATCCACCCCCCTGCTTGAATAACATGAGCATTGCTTCGATTTACTTCAGAGTAGTCAGGTGTGTTTAAATGATAAGTAAATGATCTTTTTATATTTTCTGAAGATGTTTCTAAGGAATATTCGGCCGAAATTTCCTACAAATTTGTTATGTCATTGAATACTATCTAAACAGAGGTTCCCAGAAGTCATAACGCAAATTGCGTCATCAAAAATTTGAGGGCGTTTTGAATGTACTTATATTTTTGTGAGAGTTCAGTTGTAAAGAACATACAAACCAAGGAACAAAGGAAAAAAAAAAAACTAAATTACAATTTTAATTGTATTTGTCCCATTTTTAAGAGACGAGCAATAAATTTTCTTGGGGCATGCACCATTGGCTTTAGGGGTGATGGGAATCTCTGATTTCCCTGATTAAATTCACGCTTGCACTGGTTTAAAGATCACAGTCATCACTAAATTTTTAGTTTATGTAATTTTAAGTGCTATTTGATTGTAACCTATTTCAAGTTGTATGTTTGTGGACTTCAACTGCTAATAAGTTGTTTAAATAAGAGAACGTCAACAAGTTTATTATATACAAGTTTATTATTACTAAGATCCAAGCAGACCTAGATCGAATCTGTGCCTGGACAAACTTAAACGGATTAAGGTTAAATGCTTCAAAAACTCAGGCCATTGTCATTGGCTCCAAGCCCCTCCTTAGATTCTATACCGACTTTCCCATACTAAAACTTGGTAACTAGCCAATCTCCTTCTACTCCTCTGTAAAAAAGTTAGGACTATTTATTGATCAAACCCTCTCCTGGAGTCATCATATTTCTCACATCTCCCGACGGACAGTTTCTACCCTCAAACTATTCCATCGCTTCCGCTATCTCCTACCTCAACATACGCGTATACTCCTCGTTTCCTCTCTCATCTTCCCTCACTTTGACTACTGCTGTGTGGTGTATGATGGACTCTCGGTGGAGCTCCGCGACAGACTGAAAAGATTAATGAACAGTTGCGTAAGATTTGTAATTGGTGCCCCGAGATACTACCATGTCTCTCACCACTACACTGAGTTAGAGTGGCTCTTCCCCTCCATTCGAAGACAATATTTCCTAGGTACATTCCTCTATCATATCATCAACAATCATCGTCCTTCCTACGCCTACAACCTTCTCCAATTCAAGTCCTCAGTCCACTCCCTCTCCACAAGATCTCGACCTTCCGACCTTCACATTCCTTCTCACAGATCTGCCTCGTTCCAAAACTCCTTTATTGCTCGTTCTGTTAGTTTCTGGAATTCCCTTCCTATCAAAATTCGACATTCTTCATCCTTATCTACATTCAAAACCCTCCTATTCCAATTCCTGTCCCAAAAACAGTCAGATACCAGCTAACCTTTTATGTAAAATTACATATTATTTATAATAACATATTCACACATAGCTCATAACCTAAATACTTATTATAGATTCGACTTTCTTTTTTTTTTTCAACAGAAACAGATTTTACTGTTAAGAAGAATTTACATTTATTTTTTCTGTATTTTTTATTTTTTCTAAAAGGGTTTATTTATATTTTAACATTGTACATAGTTTTAAGTATCTTAGTGTGGTTTCAAGAGTTTTTTATATAGATTTTTTTATTTTATTTTGTATATAGTATGTATAACCAATATATTTTTTTTTTTTTTAATGATCTATCTTTATCTTAACTTTTTATGTTTGTTTTTATCTGGCCAGATATAAAATTTTAATTTCTGTACTTTTTTGTTATTCTTTTAAATTTTAATTTTTGTTATTTTTTTGTTATGAAGGGACTTCATCCCAGAATAAAATTATTTTTCTATTCTATTTTATATACACACGCAGATAGTCTTCTTTGATCAATCACTACAAACATATTGTTAAAAATCACACGTTTTCGATAATTAGTTCTAAAAAAAATATTATTTATTTTCTTCTTTATCAAAATGAAGATTAAAACTGCAAGGCGGGGAAATTCAAGGGCTGTTACTTGGCAAACTTGTCTCCGTATCTGAAAGTTTGATTGCCACGTAACTGAGTTGTAGTTGTGGCTTAATGTAGGTTAGACGTGGTACAATTCTCTTTATTAACTTTAATTAAAATTTAAAGTAAACGGAACTTTATTTGAGGAAATGTCAAGTGGTGAGCAGCAGCAGCTAAAAGGGGGCCATCCCCCCGCAGGTATTTTGTTATATTAATTTGACGTATAAAAAACAAAATTAAAATAAAAACAATTGAATATTTAACAGTTCCTCTTTTAATTATCTCTTTAAATTCCGAAGTATATTACTCGTCATTTGTATTTTAGTTTGTACCTGCTCCCTGGGAAAGAACCCATATGGTTGGTTTTAATTAATCTCTATTTGCTGGACTTAAAATTATGTTGGGTGGGCTATATAATATTAATTTGGACTTTGAGCTTCTTAATATAAGCTCTTAATAATTGTTTGAAATCCAAGCTTGTAAAGAGCTTAGATTTGTTGAACTTAGTCTTCTCCTAAACAAGGGAAGAACGTTTATTTTTAAGACAGTCATTGATATATGTATTCTAAAATTACATTACCAATCGAAATTATAAATCCGTACGTACCCATTTGGATATGATCATCAAGTAGAAAGCTTGTCAAAGAAGATTTATCCTTTCGAATTCATTATCAAAAACCTTTCATAATCTGTTTCCATGGAAGGTATGGAGTTGATCACCTTCGTGTACCTTTAAAATGTTTTGGCTACTTTCAGAATTGTATGTATAGTGTGATCGATGTTGTATTGATCCACCTGTTAACCAAACGTGATACTTGTGAACAAGTACAACATTTATGAAATTTGATAATTCTTACCCAATAATTTTACTAGCCATAAAAAAAATTATTTTCTTAACGAAATGTTACTAATTGTTGAATTTTATTTTATTTCTTATTTGTTTTTAATTATACAATTATTATAGACTTATTTCATGAATATATTTGTCTTCAATCCTTACTGGTCATTATTTATCTTTGATTAGTTTTGAATGCTTACTATTCAAATTGGATTTCACTTTTTGTGATAAAAGATTTTAAATAATATTGCTACATAATTTTTTGTCAAATATTTAGTAAAGCAATGATTTATTTGCTAATCACTGGCTTTAATACAATAGCTAATTTTTAGTAGCTATTTACTCAATTGTATGAAAATAATAAACTGAGCTGAAGCTATTTAAAATAACTTCCACAATACAAAATAATTATTGGTTATCACCGAAAGTTTAAGAATCATTACTTATCGAGTTAAATTAATGAATCAGTATTACTACAGACTCTAAATGACTAGTAATTGATATTACATTGTTTTGGATGAAACTATAAGGAATGTAAGCCTATAATAGTTCGAGCCTCTAAAGAAAATAGTGGACTGATGATAAAAGAGAAAAAGTTAATCATTCAAAGAAAATAAGTAAAATTGCATTCAGAAAATAACTTTTTCATGAATATTTAAGAATTCTCAAAACAGCTATTAGTACTAGTTCAGAAGTGCCACATCTGGATGGCAGACATGTCAATATATCATTGATCTCATTTTACACTAAATACTGTTGCTAGCCGAGTTGGTTTATCTTTTGACAGGTTAATTCAGGTTATATTTTCAACAACAACAACTGAACAAATCGGACCTAACAAATAATCTCGGAGATATAATACAATTAAAAAATTAAGAAGAAATTTAATAATACAAGTTAACAATAAATATACTGTAATATCTCTTTATTTTTAAACTAATAATATAACCTTGTGGAAGATAACTTCTTACTGTAGTGATACTTCCAAAAGAAATAAGAGATTGTTAAATAAAAAATAATTTTATTTTCTTTTAAATTAAATTTAGGTGAATACTGAAACATCTGCACATTGCGCATTTAATAAACACAAAAACTTTTAAAGATTGCCTCTGAGTTACATCTTAACGATTTTTTTTCTCTAACTTTTATCCTTTTCTTATAGATTATTTTCTTAAAGTATTATTCACATGACATGTTGACACATATAAAATAAATTACAGTAACATATGAATACTAAAATTAAATTGAAAACCATACCTTAATTTTAAACTAATTTACACAATATATAAACTAAATACAGTAATTATATAACTTGTTCATATAATTTATGTACAGGGAAAATAAGTAATGTAGATTGATATATAAGTAATAAAATAAGCTATATACCTTATTTACAAACAAAATTTATAGTATAATTTCGTTATCTTATATACAATTAACTTACAAAATAACTGCTTAAATTATTGACATAACATTCTCAAATATTAATAAATTTTATTATAGGAATAGACAGAGAGCACACATTGGCATTTAAAAATATAGATAATTAGAAATAGCTATACTGAGTTAAACTTCATGAAAGATTATTAAAAGGCTGTTGTGAAACAGATCTCTTGTATAACCATTATTTGGATCATCTATCAGAATTGAAGAATTGAGTGTTTAATCAGCTTATTTATTATTTTAAATTTCAAGTTTCTATTAACTTTTAAATATTATTATCAGGAGAGAGAAATACTTTATTTAAAGCAGTGCTGCCCTACTATATAGGGTTACTTGATACACAGCATACTCATCAATCCTTTTTTTTTTGGATAGCACTGAATTATACTTAATCACATATTTATATATATATATATATATATATATATATATATATATATATATATATATATATATACACAAATTCTTTTCCATATCACTCATCATATACAATATTAATAATGTAATATACCTATCCACACAATTGCAATTATAAAATATATATATTTCAGGAAAACCCATACAAAACAATTTCTGAATTTTATAGAAAAAAAAAAGATATTCGAATGCCAAAATTCCAAAACTAGAAAATTAGAACGCACATATAGCAAGTAACATAATCCTATGAGTATAGACAAAAAGATATGGTTAGTTATTTTTTTTTAAATTGAATAAATAAATGATAATAAGTATCCATAATCAACTCCTAATTACCAATCAAATATATGTGATAATGAATAAACCCAAGTGAGTCCAGAATAAAACACTCGGCCAACACTGCAAGCTCCCCGACATCAACACCTAGTTCCTTGAAAAAGCTCCTTGTTCTTTTAGGAATCGTTCCATGAGACCCAAACCAGTGGCCTCTCATGTTGAACTCTTTCTCTCCAAAGGTCTCGCGGAATTTCTCTTTTAGGAAAGGGATGCATTTATCGTAGATTTCCTTCTTTTCTTTTCCTACTTCACTGGCCTGATCGAGGTCATTGCCTTCATAGCGAACAATTGGATCCAAGACCAGTGCCGCCTTTCCGGTTCTGGAGAATGCAACTATATCTGCATATCTCGCTGATCCATCACCATCGATACAATACAGCTCGTCGAAGCATGTTAATTCCCTTTCCCTAAGGAGCCTCATCAACTCGAATTTGACCCTATGGTGCCGGCGTGTTATGAGTGGGGAGTTGTTGGGCCATTTTCCCAGCACATGGGCTGGTGTTTCAGACTCTGCCGCATTTGCGACACCTTGCCATCTGCAACTGGCCCATTCTTCTCAAGAAAGAATAATTCTCTTTCAGCGACTGTTGTAGAGCTCTCATACTTTGGTAGCCCTGATTAACACCCAGTTTCTTCACACATTTGGCGACTTCGGCGTTATAATCAACTATAGACTGAAACAGGGCATCCGGTACACTGGACAGTCGCTGGACAATGGAGCAATGTGTCAAAGGAGCCTCCCATTGGCAGCAGATCAGTCCCAATCCTCGATACCTCCTTGGTGCATATAACATTACCAATGATGTATTAGTGGGGAGCCCTATGATGGCCTTGATACTCTTGTGGATATTTACATCAACCCCTTCTGGAGAGAGAAGGTGAGTCCGGGGAACACATGATTGACAACATTGGTCTTTTGCTCCGGTTTAAGAAGGCAAGAGCTCACCTGTTTATCCAAGTTGTCATTAAATGTTTTCAACTTTTCCTCATTTATCACTAGCTCTCCCGAGAACGTGCATCCTAAATATTTTACAGTATCATCTTTGATGTGTGGATGACTTCTCTGTTCTCAAGGAAGAGCTATTTTTGTTGCAGCTCTCCTTTATCTATTAGGCCATGCTTTTCTTTGGATTAATACCCAGACCAATCTTGTACAGAATCTTCTATACACAGTTAATTATCCTCTCTGCAGCACCCTTGTTGCGTGCTGAGTCAGCCTGGTCATCCACAAAGCCTGTGAGCACCTCACATTGTTGGTTGCTGGTTAATTTATATCCATAGTGGTTGGAAAATTCTTGTTCACACAGGTCGTGGTATAGATGATCTATAGCCAGGTTGTACAGCGAGGGCAACAAGGGTCCGCCTTGGGGTACTCCTAGTAGTACTCTTAATCTAGTTAGTAGAATGGGCTCCAATAGAATAGGTTTTCAGGTCTGGTGACACTCCTCTTGTCTCTAGTGAGCCGATTATATGTTCGTGACCAATGTTGTCAACATATAACATATAACAACATCTAAAAACACCACCACAATTTGACATCTTTTATGATCGCGTTGATGATTCTTGCGCTGACTTGTGTTTCCGGCAGGCCCCTGATAACACCTCTCTGATTTTTGCTGAAGCTAATCTGTTTCCTCAATTCGTGGTCCAGAACCCTTTCAATAATTCAGCGCACAATCGAATAAATGGTAATGGGTCGTCATGATGATATGCTGTTGGCGTCACCCTTTCCCTTGTAGGCCAAGATTGTGCGCCCTTGACGCATAAGCCACCCTCAGCATGATCTCTGCAATTATCTTAATTATATGAGAAACATCATAATACTTTATCGCGCGGATCTGAACTCTGTCTGGTCCTGGCGATGTTGACTTAATTGCTTTTTTTACCGATCGGACGTCAATGGACATCAGATTTGGCATCAGGACGCAATTTTCATAATCCGCACGTTGAGATTTTTCTTTTCAAAGAGGCTTCTGAAGTGGCCTTCAATCTCGGCTACCATTGGTGGGCACTGTTTAGGAGCATCGGTGTTCATTACATTTTAAACTACTTTTCTTCTCCTATTATAATAGTTATATTGAGCCACCTCGTTTTAGTATTGCTTCTACGACGACTCCTATCTTCCTTCTTAGCCCTGTGTTGATTTGATACTTTTCCAGCACCC